TGATTCTCTCTCATCATTGATGTTTCTATCTCTCTCTCCCTCTCCCTTCCTCTCTGAAATCAATAAAAATAAATATTAAAAAATAATAAAAAAATAAAAACAATTATTTTCAAAAAGAATACATTTGTATATATTCACATACCTTTCCCTAAGTGTTTCAACCCATGAATGTTTAATGGCATGGGCTAGGTCAAAGGTGAGAGATTTAGAACTTTTATAAATTTGTAGCTGCCACATTCATTACATATTATTAGGAAAAATATTTTTTTTTGGTCTGAGAGTTCTAGACATTAAGAACTGAACATATGCCTGTTGAATAAATCTCTAATCTGGTGATTCTCAACAGGAGGTAGAAAATGAAAGGAAGATATAGCAGTATCCCCCGTCCATGGGGCAAAGGGATGAATGAAATGGAGCAGATTTAGATTAAAAAATTATTTTTTCATATATACATTATTATTTTCATAATAAAACCCCAGGAAGTCTTCCTGATTGGAAGGACACATACAAGATAGAATGAAATGCATTGTAGAGGACAAAGGTCAAAAAGGTCAAACTTATTCCTCTATTAAGTATGAAGTCAAAAAGAATAGCCCTACCAGTCCAAGTTATTCTCTTAGTGCCGGTCACATATGGGATTGAGGGCTGAGTGGACCATAGATTTCTTCAATTCAACAAGTATTTATGGCGCACCAACTCTGCACCAGCTGTTGTGAAAAGGCTACAGCAGTGTTTTCATGGAGCTCAACATATGGTTGAGAGAACAGATGATAACCAGAAAGCACAACTGTGATGAAGATGACGTGCTGAGAATGTTAAAAGAGGGACCATCTTAGCCTGGGGGCACAGGAAGGGCTCCTTGAGGAAGTGAGGTATAAACTGAGACTTGAAGGATGAGTCAGAATTAGTTAAGGAAAGGGCCAAATGGGGGGTGGAGATGAGTGTTATGACCAGAGGGAATGTTATGTTTAACAGTCTAGAGCAGCGGTTCTCAACCTGTGGGTCGCGACCCCTTTGGCGGTCGAAGGACCCTTTCACAGAGGTCGCCTAAGACCATCCTGCATATCAGATATTTACATGACGATTCATCACAGTAGCAACATGACAGTTAGGAAGTAGCAATGAAAATAATTTTATGGTTGGGTCACAACATGAGGGACTGTATTTAAAGGGCCAGAAGGTTGAGAACCACTGGGCTAGAGGTTGGTAAGAGTGAGTCATGTTCAGAGAACTGGAGGAAATGCAGACTTTCTGGAGTGAAGTGCACAAGCCCTGTACTGACACCAATGTTCTCTGCACCCAGGATGTTCCTGTGCAGCCCATTCACACGACCTTCTTGGAGAGACATTTGCCCTCCGTGCCAGGCCTGCTGAGGCTGATTGGATTGACTACCATCTTGTCAGCAACTGCTCTTGGCTTCCTGGCCCATAAAAGGGGGCTACTTGTGCGGCTCTAAAGAGGAGGCATCTGTAACCATACCTTCTTCTTACTTTACTTGGTGTGTGGGTTTGGGGATGGGGTTGCAATAAAGTTTCATGAAGCCATACAGACTCTAGTGTGAGATGAGGAGCAACACAAGTCAGACTACTGACCATAGGAAACAGTATCTTTTTCTCTATTTGGTCCCTGCTTATTGTCCCCTGCTAGGCTTAGCTCTCTGTCTTGCCCTTTTACAAATTTATTGCCCCCAGAAACGTCACAATAGTTAACAAGTCTTGTTTAAGGCCCTTGCTGCCCCACAACACACATTGCCCATGCACAAAAAAAAAAAAAAGCTTTTCCCTACCTCTGTGGCTTTGTGCTTCTCCTTCCTCTTAACTGTACCATTCCCATCTTTCAAGTTCTCTGCATTTGTCCTTAGAATCCTGTATTGTTATAGGTGGTAGACCTAGGAGACCATCTAGTCCTCACTTTCTATTTTAGACTTGAGCCAACTAAAGCTGAGGGAGGTGGAATATAATTATCCAAGGTCTGAAATAAGACCCTGATGTTTTGGAGACTAGAACGCAGGTCCATTTCTTTCCCCACCTCCTTGTCTGTATGCCCCCAATAACCCTCCTCTACTCCCTGCCATTGTGGCTGATGACACCTTCTTGAATGGGTTTACTTTGTACTAAGTTGTTATGTACCACTACTCTATACTACCCCTACAATTGTTATGCAATAAAATTGATTCACCAGATGTCTATTGTTTTTTTTTCTTTTTGAGTAATGACTTTTTTGAGGTTTTGACAGATTAAATCATAATACAATATTCAGCATATAATTGTGGCTTTAACATATTTAGCCAAAAATTTCTTGAAGCTCAAATGATGGATGCATTTTGATTGTGTGATCCATCATGGATGGTATGTGTGTGAGCACTTGGTAAATGATTTATAATGATATGACACAGATGCTAAAAAACACAGTTCCTTGCTTTCATCCCCCCAAAAAAAGAACTGTCAAAATAAATGACATATTAATAAGCAAGATGCTTTAACTATTAAGATAATTAGAATATTTCATTTGACCTTTCATATTACTTACCAGTGCAAAGCTTTTTACCAGGTACACTCATTAATTTAAAACTATAGTTTCACAGTCCATTAGATTCTATTTGAACTACTCTTCAAATTATATTATTTCAAAGGACTCCTATTTTTTGACTCCCAAAGTCAACTTTTATCAGGATATATTTTAAGTCCATAAGTGACCATTCTTTCACTCTCCCTTAGAAAATGAAGCTTAGTAATCTTAGCATAAATGGAATTTAAGAAGTGTCCTAGAATTAATCAATCATAGTATAGAGTTTCTGATTTTACAGTGACATTTACATTCATGAATTTATATGAACTTTAGAGACAAAAATGAGGAAATTAAATAACCCACTAAGACTTCCTTTGTAAATTTTATGTTTTGAATCTGTCTAAAAATACAATTAACTTGCCCTGACTCAGTGGTTGAGTGTCACCCTATGAATTAGGAGGCCATGGTTCCATTCCCCATCAGAGCACATGCCCAGGGTGTGGGCTCAATCCCCAATAAGGGGCATTCAGGAGGCAGTCAATCAATGATTCTCTCTCATCACTGATGTTTCTCTCTCTCTCTCTCTCTCTCTCTCTCTCTCTCTCTCTCCTTCTCTTCATTCCTCTCTGAAATCAATAAAAATATATTTTTACATGTAATGAACTTGACATAAGGATGTCTTCTTGAGCATGCTACCCTCCAAAATAATTTCCTAAAGTAGTCACATTACTAACTCTAACACATTAATTAAACCAAAACCACAATGAGGTATCAAACTTGATAGGATGGGTAGTATCCAAAAGATGGGAGAAAACAAATGCTGAAAAGGATATGGAGAAAAGGGAACCTTTGTGCACTGCTGGGGAGGGGGGTGTATTTGGTGCAACCACTATGAAAAATAGTATGGAAGTTCCTCAAAAAATTAAAAATAGAACCACCATATGATTAAGCAATTCTACTCCTGAAAATATATCCAAAAGAAACAAAAGCACCATGTCGAAGAGATATCTGCACCCCCATGTTCAAGGCAGCATCCTATGTAATAAAGAGGAAATATGCAAATTGACTGTCACTCTGCCACAAACATGGAAGCGCCCACAGTGGAGGCGGGGGTTTCCATAACACAAGATGGCTGCGCCCACAGCGGAGGCTGAATTCCTGAAACAAGCCTTAACAAGCAATCAGCAGGGACCTGAGGCTGCGCCCCGCCCCTCCATCCCCATGGGGCTTGACAGGGGACCTCAGGAAGCGCCCCCCACCCTGGTGCCAGGCCGGGGGACCTCAGACCATGCCCCCCACCTGGCAGGGCTTGATGGGGGACCTCAGGCCATGCCCCCCACCCAACAGGGCTTGATGGGGGACCTGAGGCTGCACCCCTTGCCCAGCACTGGGCCAGGGGACCTGAGGCTGCGACCTTGCCTGGTGGGGCTTGACAAGGGTGGGGCCAGCCAGTTCTAGATCTAGCCCAATGGGGGTGGGGCCGGCTGGGTCTGGGTCTCGCGCGATTTCGAGGCACACATGGGTGGGCGGGGACTTGACTCTGGGTTATGTGGTGCGCCCCAGACTCTAACAGGAGGAAGATTTTCATATACATTTTACTAATTTTCTTCCATCTCTGACACTTCTATTATAAAGGACAAATAGCAATATTAAAATATTTCCTCTAATTAATCCCCTTTTAATGTGCACGAATTTTGTGCACAAGGCCACTAGTCTATATATATAGAAGGCTAATATGCAAAAAGTGTCCCCTCAGGAGTTTGACCAGGAGACCGGGAGTTCAATCACTCACTATGATGTGCGCCAACCACCAGGGGCCGGCGTGGAATAAAAGAAGGCCCAGTGGGCAGCCGGAAACCAGGGAAGGGAGGCCCCAGCCACCAGTTGAAAGTCCCCGATTGACCCTGATCACTGGCCAGGCCTATGTACACTACCCCTGCACGAATTTCGTGCACCAGGCCTCTAGTTATTGATAATAGCTAAGACCTGGGAACAATGTAAGCTTTCATCAAGGGATCAATGGATAAAAGTTGTGGTATACACACACACACACACACACACTCTAGAATATTCTAGAATGCTCTGGAGTCTAGGGGACTGTGTAGACAAGTTGGTGTAATGTCATGGATTTGTTGTTGTGGTTTATTTCCTGTAAGTTTTATTTTTAGGTACTGAAGAAGACTCATCTGAGTTGAAAATTCTCCCGGAGAGTGATCTTACTGACATTTTAGTCTCTGGACGCTAGAAGCCAAGCTCCTGTATTAGAAATAATTGATCTAATTAGACCCTGAACTTACCCTTGGCTTCTACTTTCTGATGTAATTGTTCTTGTCATTTCTGCTGAGATTACACAATGAGCCACTGACAAATCATATACCATGACATTTCAGACACTGGCCTCTACCTATGATCTCTTTGACTTCTTTCAGCTTTCTGTATATCTCAACCATGAATCATTTCTTCCATAAGCATTCTGATTCAGTTTATTCTCCTTGAAAATCCATTTCCCTGGAAGGCAAAATGCTGAGTGGTACTGAACTTTTGCTCTTTAGTTTGACATATCTGTCTTACCTCTAGGCCATTTTATTGTATTATATTTTCTTTTTCCTAACCTGCTGTCAAAAGCTTTTCAATACAAGAATCTTACCTAGGTTACAGAAAACCGAGGAGAAAATTCCGCAGTTTTGTGGGAGCAGTGGGAAGAAGACCACCAGCTGTTTCAGGAGAGTTAGAACTGGCATGAGCCATAAACCCCACATCCCCACAACCCATACCTCTTCTCTGGCCCTATGTTGTTCTCTACCTGCTCTTCTCTTCTCCTGCTCTACCTCCATTGTTACCAAACGCTCAGGCCCCCAGTCCACAGGTCAAGGACAGATATTGGCTGAATATAACTCATTTTTAAGCCCAAGGTGGACTGTGGCCTGCTAACCTTCCTTTGGGATTTGTACCTGCAGGCAGTACTATTTCCTTGGCCTTGGGCATACGTTTTGTCATTAGCCACTCAGCCACAGAATTTCCTTCTTTAGGAAGCCAAGGAATGGAGAGTCGGCTGGGTCCAGCGAGGCTGTTCCCCCACCACTATCCATCTAGCCCAGTGATGGCGAACCTTTGGAGCTCGGCGTGTCAGCATTTTGAAAAACCCTAACTTAACTCTGGTGCCGTGTCACATATAGAAATTTTTTGATCTTTGCAACCATAGTAAAACAAAGACTTATATTTTTGATATTTATTTTATATATTTAAATGCCATTTAACCAAGAAAAATCAACCCAAAAAATGAGTTCACGTGTCACCTCTGACACGCATGTCATAGGTTCGCCATCACTGATCTAGGCTCACAGTGCCAATCATACAATATACATGCCTTGGTAGGGTAACCCAGATAGGTGAGTGAACCAAACCAGCAGGATCCCAGGTTAAGTTGGCAGGTGATTCAGTCAAGGTTCTATGGAGACTAGTCCAGTGGATTCAGAGGCCTAGGCCTTGGCAGGTGTATGAAAAGTCATATTTAGTTGCTGTGGGGGCAAAGGGTAAGAGATGGACAGCACCTGGGTTCCAACTATATCCCTACCACATAGGGAGATGTAATGAGAACAGCTTAGTTTAGGGTCCCTAATAGCCATGCAGACTAATAGCCACGGACTGCATCTCAGCCCTCATCCTCTCACAAAGATGGGTCTGCCTGAGGGGGATAGGATAAGGCTCAGGGCCCCATAGCCATCAGCATTCTCCTGGGAATTCCAGAAGAGGCCCAGTCTCTGCTCCTTGGGTGGGGGGCCTTCTTGCCTAAGCTTGAAAGTGTCCTGGATCCAGATGACCTGCTGTCACCCTTTGCCATACTCTGAAACACCCTGAAAGCCCAGACCGAGGGTGGCTGGACTCGCATGGCTAACCCAACTTTCCCCCTGAACATTCTCCGACCACCTAGGCTATAGTTACCCTTTGCTCACCCCGCCTACCCCACTACATTGCATTGCCTATGCCCTAGGACAGTGGTCGGCAAACTGTGGCTCGCGAGCCACATGCGGCTCTTTGGCCCCGTGAGTGTGGCTCTTCCACAAAATACCACGTGGGGGCGCGCACGTACAGTGCGATTGAAACTTCGTGGCCCATGCACAGAAGTTGGTTTTTGGCATGGGCGAATCTATTTTGAAGAAGTACTGTTGATATTTGGCTCTGTTGACTAATGAGTTTGCCGACCACTGGTCTAGGAGACAGAATTGGGACAAGCATAGGCTCCTTTCTGTCTCAGAGGGACTGACCACACAGATCCAGTTTTCCTAGACATTGATTCATGAAGGATGTTATCTGCCAAGTGCTTGAAATCACCCATCTAATGCTAAACAACCTTCACCTTTTCCCAATACTGTCTTCTCTTTACCTAACCTGAAATTTCTACTGTGGACAGATTTATATGGGTGGCTGAGTGGGAGGGGTGCAGGGGGTGGAGGAGAAAGTTGGCCCAACTTTGAGAAGCCAGGGGTGTCCTTCCTGGGTGTGCCAGGGTCAGTCCTAGCCCTTTAAGTGAGCCAGCGTGAGACTGGATTTCTCTCTTTCTGTGCTTGTTAATATTGATTTGTTAACTTTGTATTTCATCCTGATCTCCAGCTTCCCCTTGAGACTGGGCATGTCATAAAGGATCGAGTGAAATAAATAATGAATAAATGCTTC